TAAAACATGTCATATTGATTACTATGAAACTGTAGGAATAAAGATAGGATTACAGTTACACTGAGCTCTGTGAGCTGTGTACAACTAGTCACTAAGTACTGACCATTTTTATCTCATAATTTTAAAAATTCAGAATTAATTTCAGCTAATAAGTCGCAAATAACTGTACAAGTTCTGTGCTTATAAGCTAGCAGAAATCATAGCCTTTTCTTCACCATGCAGATATTTTCAAGTGTGATACATTCCTTTGGGTACTGAGTGCATGACAGATTCTAAGATTAAAAATAAATAATAAGAGATAAAAATTGAATTGAATTATCATTGGCAAATAACAAAATGTCCTTTGGAAGTGAATCTAATGTTACTGTCATATATATTTCCTGTTGGACCTGTATTTGGAACCCCCAAAATTGGTGGCATTTCGAACCCTTTTTCTGCTGTTCAAAGTAGTCTATTAAAAAAGTAAAGATATTCGCGCACACTACTTTACCTGTGTAACAAATTCATAAAAAAGTTTCTTTCATCAGTTCTCTGCTAAGTGGTAGAGTGGCCACAGTTTGGGTCTCATTTATGGCCAGTCACACTCTAATTCTCCTTCATTATGACTATTGTACATTCAAAATAATAGGATTCGTGCGCGTACATAGTCATAAACTAACCTGCTAATGCTGTGTTCCTTGAATATCTATGTGCACTGGCTAGAAATTTTTCCCAAGGTAGTTAATTCTTGAAAAATTGCCATTTTTGGTTAGAAACTCAACACACAGGAGACAATAATTAAGTAAAATTTTCAGTTCATATCATGCTTTAACCTAATACTGAACAAAATCAGTCCTACTACGCTCTAGGCACTGAATAATAAATGACAATTCACCTCATTCGCCATTTTTTTGTTGTAAAGCATGGAGACAACAGGAAGTCAAGTTTCTCCAAACACTTTTTATGGAGCTTTTAGTATTTTTTCACATCCAAGTGTATTAAACTATTAATGGGTCAACTCAGGTATGGTCTCGAATGCAGACCGGAGGCATCAGTGCGGACAAGGCCAATGTCAGCAGGGTCCCATTTGTGACCACACGGACAAAGGACTCAAAAACTGACCCCAGAATAATGGAACAGTCTCAAATGCTGAGGATGGCATAATGCCATGGAGCAATTCATTTTGCACCGTGGCTGAATTATGAATAAATATCTTTAATTAAGTATTCGATTGCTCTCAGTAACTTTTCACTGGCGTATGAGGAGCATAGATGGGCTGTGTGACAGAGACATTTAATAAATACAATGTGTGGCGGATGATTCTTCAGCAGACTTACTACTGAGTGGTGTTGGCCAAACATTACATTTGTAGTATCTGAAGAGTATCCTATCATGTTTTTCAAAGGAGTATTTTCCTTTTCAAAAAATGAAGTGATAGTTGACACAAGAGTTGTAGCATCTCCAGCTGAAAATTCTATCAATTTGAAAAACTGACTCTTGACTTTATTCTTTCTCTCGCTGAAATATCGTACAACTATTGCTAGCTGTTTCTTGATTGCAATGTCATTACATTCATCTATAATGATTTAGAAGAATGTCGACTTCAGTATATCTCATAATTTGTTTCTCAAATGCTTTGAAAGCACATTTTTTATGATGCTTTGTATTTTAGTGTGCTTGCACTTAAATTGAGAAGTGATTTTTGAGTCAGGAAAGATACTTGTCAGTAGATCTGAAAGGTGATCCATTGCTTCATAGGATATGTTATGTTCAACTATAAATACTAGCCACTTTTACTTCAGCTATTTTTACATCTTCCCTTAATGTGTCCGATTGTCCAATCATTTCAGCAATTGATTTACAGTTTTTTTTGGCTTTGAACATATCTTGATGCTTCTTTGATTGAGCATGCCTTCTTTATTCAGATAATCCTGCTGTTAATGTCTTCCCAAATACAGTACATTCTGCATTATAGGCACTTGTCTTAGATAATGCTATCCACAGCCTCAATTCAGGATCCTTTTCCCAAGCACAATTGTACTTTTGCTTGTATATCCCTTTCTTCTTTTTGTGGCTCTGAAACACTACTTTCCGCTCTTTCTTCAAAATCTGTTTCGTAGCCATCACTAGTACTGTCACTTTCTTCAGAATGCATTGTGCTCTAGTCACTGACTGAAGTACTGAGATTTGACTTAATGACTTTTGGCAAAACTCACAGCTGCTACTTTGATTTTGATTTTAGTATTGTACCATATACTTGTATTGACATTACATGCATATCCAGTCTAGTCAGTCATAATAATTTTTATAGTGTAATGTTGTGTACATAATGCTTATTCAAGCATGCATAATATTTATACCATTTCTTATACTAATTCTATTAGGTGTATTGTATAGCCAGTCATTTAGGCTGTTTAATTTTTTTACCTTACTAGTCCTTAGATCAAAGTTAAAGTTACCCTAGATTTTTGCCCATTTAAAATTACCTACCCTGAGCCCTATATGCTTAGAAAATACCCCAAATCTAGGGTAAAATCCCTAGCATTGGAGGTACTGTTCCAACCTGAGATGATCGTGCACGCAGTGTTGCCTTAATTTCATTGTACACAAGCTCATGTTTTTGCTATAGTGAAATGAAACATGTTGAAACCTTATACCCTATTTATAATGAATTACTCTACCTTGATGTGGACTAAAAAATTAGATCTGGCCTTGGTAGATCCAGACATAACCATGTTGTAGTGCTTCAATGAAGCCTTAAAGCTTCCTTTAACATTGTCTGGCACATGAAAGTGACTGAACACAATTGGCAAAGGTTTATTCTTTGAAGCTATAACAAATGATACATTTCAGTAGAAGATCCAAAAAGCAGTCAGTAAGTTTGGTAGATAAAGACTCAAATGGCAAATGCTCAAAAGTCAAGTGTAAAACTTGTTTAAGACAGTGAACGACCGTAAAATACAGTTCCTTCAGCTGTTAACAAAATTAGCACACGAATAGAGATAGTGCAATGTTCAGCTGCTCAACTACAGTGTTCACTGTTAACCATACATATGCCATTTTACTTACAATAACAGCCGTATTTTATGTGCTGCATAGGATTGTATAAGTTTTGTTGTAGTACCTTAATTTTATATAGTTCTAGTACTAGTTCTAGAACTAGAGTTTGATAAAATTTAGTTCTAGTACTAGTTCCGGAACTTGAGTTTGATAAAGTTTAGTTCCAGTACTAGTTCTGGAACTAGAGTTTGATAAAGTTTAGTTCTAGTACTAGTTCTGGAACTAGAGAGTTTAGTTCTAGTACTAGTTCTAGAACTATAGTTTGATAAAGTTAGTTTTAGTACTAGTTCTAGAACTAGATTTCAATAAATTTTAGCTATTGTTCTAGTTCTAGAGCTAAGTTATAGTTCTTGTACTTGTTCTGGCAATAGAGTTTAAGAAGCTTAGTTCTAATTGGAAATAATTTCTAAATACTGCTTCTTTTTCCTTCTGCTGTCATGTTTTAACTGCTAAGCTTTGAACTGAACAAGTATTCAAAGTCTATGATGTATTTATGCATTATAATCTATGTCTAAGTAACAAATTCATACATTATTTGTGACTCAGTCTTTGTTATGTACTAAAATATTTCACTGACAAATTAGTACCTTCTTTGTCAAGTAATATTGTTCTACAATTCTAGTTCCAAACTAGTTCTAGTACAAGAGAATGTACTTTTAGTTCGAGTTTAGTTCTAGTACTGAGACTCTGGCAAAGTTTAGTTCCAGTTTAGTTCTAGTACTACAAGTCTTGTATAAGCTAGTTCTAGTTTAGTTCTGGTTCTTACATTGGTTGTAAAAATAGTACTAGTTCTAGTTCTTGGAACTAGAACTATGAAAAAAAGGCTGTACTAGAATTGATTTAGTTCTAGTACCAAGGAACTACAACAACACTAGATTGTATACACCAATTGTTTGTGTGAAGTGACTAAAAATGTATTTAAAATACAAATACAAATACATTGATTTTAGAAATATCAAATACAAATGCAAATACAAATACTTTGATTTTAAAAACTTCAAATACAAATACTTGAAATAAGTATTTGATTACAGCTAAATACAAACATTAATGTATTTGACCCCAACCATGCATTACATATAATGTCATGTCATGGAACAATTGTTGTTGCTTGTATAGGTACGGAAGTCATGCCTTTTACCAGTGATGTAAGCATTCAGTGTAATTTAGAGGCTAAAAAACACAACATTGAAGTTCAATGTGAACTTCTGTCTTACAAGACTTTGAGGATTTTGACCCAAGATTTCATGATATGGATGGTAGCAGTGACAGGAGTGATTCATCAAAAGATAAATCACAGAGAGATGACTCATGCAAAAAGATAGTTACACATTCTTCTAATGATAAAGATGAGTAATAAGAAGACAAAAAGTTAGTGATAATTAGAGTTGCACCGATATAGAAATTAACCAATATAAGGCCACTCCAATTAGATTTGTAGTTTCTCCTTACAGAGGCGGTAACAATGTGGGTGGGCAGCAAGTTAATTTTTATTATAAATTTTGATTATAATGTCGCTAAATAAACATTATTAAAAATCGCCAAAAACTTCCAAAAGCTCCTTTTTCACTTGTTTTTGTTAACAACTGGTTTATCAGCGCAAAATACACTAGGCAAAATTAATTCTCAACATAAGGTTGCTCTTTGGCACAGTAATAGGAACATAATAGAAGCATAATTTTTTATTGGTTCTAAAGAATGAACTTTTGAATGAACACTGATAGACAATTGGAATTGGTAGGTCTAATATGTTCCATCATCAGCAACAGAAAACAACATACTTAAGGTACTGACCAATGGAGTTAATTAAAGGTACATTTGGAACACTAACATCAACTGGATACAACAATTCCCTTTCCTTGGCCACTAGAGCACCATGAAGATCATACGATGAAAAAGAGAGGCTGTGCTTAATATATAGCTCAAAGAACTCTTCAACAGTACTTTCATCTTTAATATCTCTTTGCCTGACAATTTGTTGTAGAACTACAACAAGGTAATAACAATTAATAAAAAAGCAATTACCACGCCTCTTTTTAGGGCAAACACGTGCGTTGTACAGGAAACCACACCTTCTTGGCAAAAATTGGTATTGAATAATATTAGTGGTAAAATAGAAACCATAGGAAAGAATAGAAATGTGAAACAATGCTTTGTCGGCACTTTGATGTAATTGCTATTCAACACTTTTTTTTTTTTGCAAAAAGTTGACTATTTGTTGATCATATTGTAAAGGCAATGAAACTGGTTGTAAGTAAATGCAGCAGCTAAAATCTATGTAGGTGCAAGCAGTAAAAGTGCTTTGGAGCACTTTTAAGTGAATGGAATAGAACTTGCAGGTCTACTGAGAGCTCTTGAAAGGCACAAAGATACTCCATGAAAAACGATCAAAATGGCTGATTGGGCGTGGTCAACAGGTGTGGCGTCGAAAAATAGATGATTTCCATGACAACATAAATAATTCAAAAAGTTGTCCAAAGGATTAATCTTTGCAAATTTCTTTGTGTAAGGAAAAGGGATAAGTAATATTATCCATGGTAATATGTTCCTTTTACCTACAGTATAAACACAAGTATTTACAAGATATGTAGTCATTGCCATGACAATAGTACTGACTGAACGAGCCAAATGAGAGGTACCAAGGGAACAAGAATGAGCTGAGTGAAAGGTACCAAATGAACGACCTGAATGAGAGGTGTTAAGTGAATGAGGGGTAAAAAAAGCATGAGTGGTAGATAGTGAGGGTGGAACTAGACAATGATGAATGAGTATTAGAGCTAAGGGAACAACTGAAACAGAAGTACCAAGTGAAAAAGCTGAATGATGGGCAGCGTCAGAACAAAATAGATCAGAGGTAGTGAGACCGATAGCTGTAGGACAAAAATAGGCTACTAGCACGATGAGGATTGACCTTAGGAATAGATTAATATTTTTAACGTTGATACCTATCAAAATATAATAAAACTTAGGAATAGTAGCCACTATACCTGATTTTTGGTTCCTAAATGAGCTAAATCTATGTAGACACAAGTTACAGAAACCAGTTGTTCGTTGAAAAGACAGTACGAGACACGACAATACACCTGTTATACTGTATTACTGTTTTGAATTGAATAATTATATTTTTGTGTGGGTGAGCGGGCGGGAAAGGAAAAACTATGAATTTTATTGGAGTGGCCAAACCAATATTCTATTTGTGATATAAACCAATACCGATAACCGATCCGATATTAATAACTAATATTAAAGTTAATTAAGTAATTATTAATCAATTTTATTTAATAACTTAATTCAAATAATCAAAGTTCTTCGTAACAAAAAGTAGTATTTCTGCATTATCAGGGGATAATCTGTTCCTTGATTCATCATAGATTAGACCTGCTCCTAAGAAAAGCCTCTCCGATGAATCAAAAGTTCGTGGAGCACATAGGTATTTCTGTGCAATACTCGCTAGCTTTGGAAACCTTAAACGATTATTAGTCAACAAAGTGTATACATTATCTCTATGAAAGTGTATCAAAGGCTCTGCAAGGTAGATCTATAACTCATCTGATCCATCTTTACAACTTACAATACCACCAGATTCTTCTATGATGTGTCAATACGCTTTCCACAGTTTGTACACTGTCTCTTTTGAAGTGGTTCTTCCAAAGCTCTGCCAGTGGCATTTACAACCTGTTGTGTCTCTGTTTGATGTGCTTGTACTAATGATTTAACATTATTGCTTACTGAAGGATAACTGAACAACTTATTTTTAAACCTTGGGTCTAAAATAGTAGCAATGGTAAGTTTCTTATTCCTTTCAACACAGCAAACCACTTCTCTAACAATTTCTTCATTTCCGACTTCATTGTACGAATTCCAGAATCTTCATGGTGATCATCTAAGGTTTTTCTAATTATTCTTAAGAATGGCATTATGACTGAAATTCAAGCAGCATCTGCAGAGATAGATTTAGTTACTTCTTCAATGGGTGAAAGTGCATTGATTATCTTATTCATAAGATCCAGCTAATTTGCAGACAGTTGTTTGTAAACTCTGAAGCATGAAAAGTGACGAATTCCACCTGGCTGGTTCATCCTGTACCAATCTATGTCCTTGTAGACCTAGATCCTCCTGTATCTTTCATAAACAACTATATGCTAAACAAGAATGTCGAAAATGCCCAACAATTTTCCTGCAGCGAGCCAATATATCGATAACTGCTCATTATAATAAGACTCCATCATGAACCACCAATTGTAAACTGTGGGCAAAACAACCATAATGAGGTAAGAAGCATCATTTAAAGCTTGAACTATGTTTGTTCTATTGTCACAAAGAACAATATGGATTTGTTTGTGTGAAATATCCCAGTTTTTCAAACATGTTAAGAAACTTTTCTTTGATTACATCTCCAGTGCGGGAGCCATCAATTTCTTGAACATGCAGACCTGCATGATCCTGCTTGAAATCACTTTCTAACCAATGAGCAGTGAGACTCATAAGTGAGTTAACGCTAACTGTGGCACTCCACAAGTCACTTGTAAAACTCAAAACTCTTGATCCTTTAATTTTGGATTCCACCTTTTGTTTTGTACTCCCATATATATTAGGTAGTACTGTCTCAGTGAAGTACTTTCTGGTACGAATTTTGTACAGTGGCTGTAAAACTTCTAGAAGACGGTTAAAGCCAACATCATCCATAATAAAAAATGGTTGATAGTCCAGTGCTATCATCTCTCCTATTTTATTGTGAATACGCAATGCATGGTGATCAATAATCTCCCATTTTCTTGTCTTTTCAATACTTGCTTCAAATGTCAACTGCTTGCTACGAGGCTCCTTTGATGGGGCTGCTTTTCTCTTTCTTTTTCTTACTGTATTCAACAGATATCAGGGTGAGTTGCTTTAAAGTGATGGACAAGATTTGTAGTATTATAAGTCTTAGTATTTTTCACACCACGATACACTGATTTAAAGCAAGAATTGCACACAGCAAATTTCTGTCTTCACTAGTTTGGTAAAAGTCCCAGATACACAATTGCTTTTTGGACAACTTCAATAAAGTTAATAAGCTACCTCAGCAAAATCACGTGTTGCTATAATAACATTACATGTGACTAAATATCCTACTGCGAATGCACAATACCAAGTGTTATAACATTGGAATTGATTGCTTTTTTATACCGATGTTCTAAAAATAAGCTGATAAGCCTTTATCCGATAAGCCAATCACAATATCGGTGCAACCCTAGTGATAATCATTACAGAAAATCCTAAAACAATGTTTTGATAGGAATGACACTCCTACAAATGAAGTTCATAGTATTGGCAACAAATCTCTCTCTTTTCTCACTGTTTTCTAGGCCGCTCTGCATCAGATATTTTTGCAAAATAATTGGCAGCTTCCTTAGAGTAAAGTTATTTTGTGCCACATGTTCATTCAGTACGTATGAGAAAGTCAACCCTTGATTGGTATCATGCCAGCTTGAAATTTGGCTGTTTGCACTGCCGTCGCTTGCAGTGAGTCTTTACCCACAAAAGCATTACGCTTTTTAAAATTAATGAACTGTAAAACAATCACATACTTTAATTATCAAAAAAACTACACATGTCGAGCTATACAAACTGTATGGACGTATCACCAGAATGTTATTTCAATGCTACATACAGAAAAAAAACCCTTAGTTCTTGGTGTATATGCTAGATATAACAGTCCAGGATCTCGTGCTAAATTTGGTCCATACACTTTGCTAGAAATAGACAAGATTTTAATAGTTGATATTGAATTGGTATAGGTCAGTTATGATTTTATATGCTATATTTGTTTATTATTTGATAATAAAATACTGAGGTTTTGAATAGCTGCCATATGGAGAAAGGAGGGCTGGTGAAAGGTGTTAAATTTCTTTCAGATGAAGGCTTTAAAGTAGGATGGCTTGTGACTGACAGATGTGGTCAAATTTCAAAGTGGGTGATCTGGCATGTTACCAAAGGTATAAGATATATTTAATGTGTTACAGAACTTAGAATCAAATAGGATTTAAGAAAAAATTGATGCTTTTCAAAAGTCAATGGTTACAAAGACATTGGCAATTGGTCACAAAGTATGGATATTCACCTTTTCTGGTCAATCATATTGAGCAATGGTAATGCACAAGAGGTTAAAGAGAAATGGCTATCATTAGCAAACCATGTACATCACAAGCATACTGGACATGGAAAGATATATAAAAGGTGGTCACATAAGAAACTTAAAAAGAAACAGATAAAACGAAGTAAATTAATAAAATACATATGTACATTTATATGACGAATTATTATCTAACTGCTGTAAAGTGACAAACTCCTGTCTATAGTCAGAAACCAATACGTATTAACTAGTATTTGTAATGCGTCTCCTTGTTACCAAACATCACAATTAAAAGCATTCTTTAGCCTGTTACTGCAATATGTTTCAAAACATACTGCGTTTTCATATGAAGAAATGCAGTCGAGGTAGGGCATTACATGTACAATTTTGTAACTATTCAATTAAAAGTTACACCAGTTATTGCTGGCAGCACTACACTTCAACTTTCATAATGACAGATATTAAGCAACAGCTTAAGAGTGATCACAAAGATATAGTATCTTTTTTCCAAAATTAAAAAAGGGGGACATACAGTTAGGAAATTTAAAACAGACACCACTTATAGTACGTTAAAAATCAGTTGCATTTAATTATAATTTTGAATTTGTAGCTGTTCAAAAAATATCTAATGCTTTCTATCTAATTGCAACAAATGATGTTCAGAAAACTACAAGTACTATACCACCTCCATTGTGCAGTGAATATGAAAAGCCTTTATGCTATTAATAAAAACAAAAGTAGATTTAAGTCTAATGATATTTAATACAATAAATAAGACATTGTACAGCCAACATAACTTGCACCACGAGAAGGTAAAGTTGCTCTTATTTTATTAACAGCACATGCTGGTAGTACAACTGCCTTCCAAGCCATTGCCAGCATCAAGCTATCAATTGACAATATGCTGTATGTCTCAACTGACTAAAGTATATAACAAATGTGACCATAATTGACAAAAGGTACCTTATGGCGACCTTATGGCGGGTAGGAAAATTGGTGTTTATAGCCTTAAAAATCCAACTTCCTGAGCTTCATTTATCCCAAAAATAATCCAGAGGAAGGAAGAAGTTATACTATGTAACTTTTGGAAACATTTGTTGACTAACAGAGCACTCACAGGTTGTTATAT